AAAAAAAAAACTGCGTTAAGGATTTATTAAAACTGTAAACAAGCAATTTAAACAGGTTTTATAAATTACTGTTTATTTTTCGAATATGATCCGTACTAGTTTTATTTACAATATTTCATAGATTTAACAATAATAATATTTAAAATAACGTTAATTTAAAGCTAGACTAGATTGATTTCGTTTGTAAACTTTATCAAAAAAAATTTAAATTTACAGAAGTATGTTTACTCAATCCTATCTATATATTTACATGTATTAGAAGAATCAAATGTAATCAAAACATCTTCGATGAATTCATTTCCATTTTGTTTGTGTCGAGACACGGTCCTGTAAATACGGAAATTWAGTTATTACGTTTAATATTGTTTGTAAATTTTATTTTTCGGTAAACAACTTTTTGTTCTACCAAGAAGGAAATATGTCAAGGCCAACAATAGAAGAAGCAGACTTACGTCAATGTATGCTATTTTGGTTCGATCTAGGAATAGACTTTTACGAAACAGTGAACCAAAYTAACAATACTTACGGGGATGTTTTGACAATATGGGAGTGTTATGCATGGTTTCGCAAGTTTCGAAATRKAAATAGGARWCTTGAAGATGCCCCAAAAATAAAAGTACATGATAAGTTGGAGTTATTAAAGAAGTTAATAGATTTAAATCCTCGTCAAACAACTGCAGAATTATCATTTAAGATTGACTATTCAGTGAGGAAAATTCAATATCGTCTTCAACACATGGGACGAGTGTGGAGGAAAGAAATGTGGGTTCCTAAAGAATTGTTGGCGACAGTGCTAGTTCAGCGGCGTACCATCTGCGCGTCTCTTTTGTCTCGGCATGAWGYYGATCCGTTTTTGCAACGATTAGTTATTGCAGATGAGAAGTGGATAGTATGCAAAGATTCTGTACAAGAAAATCAATTGCATTCTTCGGAAGAAGCATCTGTTTCGACACCTGAACCATCAYTAACAATACAGAATATACTTGTTTGTCTTTGGTGGGATATTTGTGGAATCATTCACTATGAATTGCTCAAACCTASTCAGATCGTTACAAGTAAAATGTATTGCGATCAACTCGAACGAATGAAACATGAGTTAATAAAAAAAGGATCTATTTTGGTCAATGGAAAAAACAGGATCCTTCATCAAGATAACGCGGGGCGAAACACTGCAGATGTAGTACTGAAAAAAATAAAGGAGTTTGGATGGGTCCATTTACCTCATCCAATCTATTCAGCAGATCTCTTGCCGTCGAAAGGCATTTTCAAATTGTTAGAACGTRTATTAAGAGATCARWWYTTTAACAATGTKGGAGAAGTGAAAACCTGCYTGGAAAAGGTTTTTRATGAAGTATCCGTTTTTAAAAATAATATCGAACTACTGCCTTCTTTATGGCGTAAAGTGTTARAAGAGGATGGAAATTATTTTTAAATATATTAYTTATTTCGTAATCAAAGAAAAATTTTRATTACTTTTCGGTCCCCCTAAGACATGCACATGCATATATTACTGGGTATTTATATCTTTCATTTYTATTTTCATATGTGAACAGCTTCAAGAACAGTACATAATGTTAACACTGCAGCCGCTRTCACGTACACGTGACWTTTTTTACTCCAGTATTAATCTTGCTGGCRGCAGAGCGARTTTAGTAAGAAAAACCCGATTATAAGCCAGATATTACWTTCAATCACTCATTCAAAAAGKAACCATCAGCTAAAAATCGTTTTTTGATCAATGTTGTTGAAAAATATAGAAGAAAGGAGGAGAAAAGGGTAGGASAACGATCATATCGTAACAGTAAGACGGCGAAAATGAWTCGGCGCTTACCTCGACACCTTGGGAATATCAGCTCTTCGCTACATTTCATATTTAWAGTCCAGCCTGAAACAGAATTACTGTATAAAATAAAAAAGTATTTTCATAAATATCTACGAGTGACCAAAAAAGTTGTGTATAATGTGCAATAAAAATATTCACGAAAAGGTGAAACAACTGCTTTTACGACTCGTTCAAGCTGGACTTAATCGTTATTTTYTTTTAAACGATCTGAATGTTTCTAAGAGTGCTTTCAAAATAAAAAAACGCCCAAATTCTGCAAGCTTATTAGTTAGTTTTTATTTTTTTCGGTTGCCTTTATAAAAATTAAAGCTTTATCAAGATTATCTTTCTTATCACATATAATTAATGACTTATGAATTCCTATGCATTTTACATTATTTCGACTATAAAAAAAAGCTAAAAAATATAATAAAATAAACTTCTCATTTTTTATTAAGCATATAAAATATATATTTTTTGACTGCGAATTCTCATATTCAATAAACTATAAACATAATTAAACAATATATTTATTTAATTAAAATAAAAATCATAATTTTTTTTTTATATTATATAATCTATCGTTAATTGTCAACGTTGTTTTTATTTTTTCTTTTGTTTTTTGTTTGTTTCCTTGAAATTGTATATTTGTAGCTACTAAATTCAAAATATATTCCACTGATAAGCATAGAATTAAATAAGAAATATATATATAGAAGAAATATAGATATATATGTATAATGAATTTTTACTTTTGTAACTAAAAGAAATTAACAATATTCAATCTGTAATAAGATAAGAACTTTCTTGTTATTTAAATTTATTTTYAGTCTTTCATTATTAAAGAACATAAAAATACATCAACGCTTATAATGAGAAATTTGTTGAAATAAATTAATAGTATGAATTTTAATATGATTTATTTGCACTTTTTACGATATTAATGCAATTTTATTGATGTGATAATTATATTTTACCTATAAATCCTGCAATCTGAMTATAATTTATTTGAACAAAAATATCCTGTTTCTTGTTTATACATTTGATCTAAATATAAAGAGCAGTTTGAATATGAGTAAACTAAATTATATAAACAATATCTATTTGTATTTTGAATATTTGAATTGAACAGTTACTTTGTATAATTTATGATGTATTATATCTTTATATACAGTGMCTCAAACAATTGATCAAATTTTCTCATTGTTTTTAAATTCCTACATTGCTTTCGTAAATCACAAGGGACAGAAATAATTTCCATGTGTCACTCATTATACATGACTTTTGTTGTTTATATAGTACAGAAATAATTTAAATATGTTGCATAATTTAAGCAAAATTAAACAAAATTAACAAATCTTTGATAAGATCAATTTTTTTTATTTAAAAAATACAAAATTWTAGTAACTCGTATACCCTTTTTTAGCTATCAATACCGCTTTTATGCGTCTTGGCATGCAATTTACTCAATTTTTGCACTGTTCAGGTTTAATTGTTTTCCTAGCGATTTTTACTGTTGACTACAATTCAATAATACATCTCGAATTATGATCGAAATTGACAACTGCTTTTTTCAGTAAATTCCAAAGGTGTTCTTTTGGTTTCAGATCGGGAGACTATGGGGTATGTCTAAAAAAGTAAATTCATGAACTTTTAACCACTCTTTAGTTATTTTTTTCTGGCTTTTAGGGTTGTTTTTTTGCTAAAATATGACTTCTTCTGCGTTCTTATTCAAATTTTGTTTATTTTATCGAAAAATTAGTATAATTTACTTAAATACGCAAATATCACAATTTATTATATAATATCATATATTCATGATTCAGTTCATCTCTTTGGATATTTTTCATAAAAACCTATAAAAATCAAATTGAATAGACATATTTTGACCTTATGCATCAAATATATTTTATAAAGAAGCAAAATAAAAATATAACAGTAATATACTTTCTTTTGAATGGAATTTGTCAGCTGCTCCTAATTTATTCCACAGTATTCTTGAATTTTTTTTCTCTGATGTATCCGGTAATCCTTTTTTTATAATATTTCAGACAATATAATTATTATATATTCTATTCTACTTCATAATTATTTATTCTAATATTTGCGAAATAAAGAATATAATACAAATTTTTCAATAAAATAGAAACATTTATAAATAGAAAAGATATGACACGTTGTAAAAAAAAAAAACTATAGGCATGAATATTATCGCATTGATAATAAAGATAATAAATATAGATCGAATTTTAACAGACCTTCCCTGTTTTTTATAATTCTATTCTTATGGTAAAGAACCGACCATGGGGGTTAAGTAGCTGACAAAAACTAATATTTTCAAAATTCKAKCCATCMAGATGGAATGCTAAATGCGATAGCACCAGATATAGACGAAAATTGTAGAATATTTGTCGAAAGAAATTTACAACGTCCTAATCCAAGTAAATATAATATATATATTTTTTTGAAACTCAGGTAGATKAATTTTTTCTTCCACTCTTTTAACCTTTCCTTTAAATTTGAGATATCTTTATCATGGGTTAGCATACACAAGTATTTCTTTTTGTGTTGCAACTAATAACTGTAGATGCTGTTAAAGAAGGGAATAATTTTTGTCGTATTTCTTTCGTTTCATCGGGTTTTTAATTACAACGATTATAATATCTATTTCACATTTACGCTGTTTTATTTTATAATAATAAAAAATTTTTTTAAAATTATTTTCTATATATTTTTTTTTATATTTGGAAAATAAGTTACATTATTGTATTTTTATTGGAAATATAAAGTAAATAATATTTATTTGTTTTTGTCACGTGTCTAGTTTCTTCTATTTTAAAACTTTTCTATTTTATTGAAAACTTAGTATAAATTTCCTAAATACGCAAATATTATAATTAAAAAACATGTCTTTAGATATTTACAAGAAAAGTATTCTACAATGTTGTTTAATTTTTTTTCTCCGATTTATCTCATAATTATTTCATTTTTTTTTTAAATATTGCAGACAATACTATTATTATATTCTTTATATTTCGTAATTGTTAATAACAATATTTGCGAAATAAAGAATTTTATATTATTTTTCAATAAGTAGAAACATTTTTAAATATGAAAGAAATGACACGTTTGGTAAAAAAATCAGACCACGCACCTTCTTATTATATTTCGACCGTCGGTTGGTTTGGACCTTATACTTTTGTCGCATACCTACGTGCTTATCTCTGTTTATTCTTCTAATCGCTGGTACCTACAAAAAATTTCGAGTATCGACATAATATGTGTCCACGCTTTGTAGTATGCAGTCACACACAAACACACACATATACAACCAGGAGCGATAACTACGAAGCATAGCATAAAGAGAAGACCGAGAATAGGAAAAACTGTATAGCCATATTCCGTCTCTCTCTCACGCAGGCTCAATCCTATATGTTTGTCTCTTTCTCACTCGTTATTTATTATTGCAGCCGTTACATAGCTCCGTTTCCGTTTATTTACTTCTCAGATCACTCCCATTCTAAAAAAGTTTTCACTTCAAAAAGTACTATCATTATGAGCCATTTTTAAAGCCATTCAACTCCATGTGAAACATTGTCCGCTACGCGTAATAATAATATATAATAACGTAATATATAATAACGTAATAATAATAATAACGTAAATCTACATGGTAAAATGTTGTAACCCACCCTATATATTTGATAGAAATTTTTCTAAAAAAATATTTGTTTGCGTAACATATTTATAAAAAATTCCTATTTTGTTTTATTACATAGGCATTCATTTGATGGTCATATTTGGGGTCGCACAATAAATTCAGCTCAGGGATTTCGCAATACAATGTACAAAGCACCAGAATCTTTTTAAGTAAATTGTATACAAATTTATATAACTGGCAAAGACTTGGTAAGTAAATTTTTAATTTTAATTGAATATTGTAATACTGAGAAAAAAATTCGAAAGAAATTTGAAGATTTAAAAAGTGGAGCACGTTATGAAGAATACTCGATAGCTTTTATGTGCACATCTGTTGCACGTTATAAAGAATTCTATAAAATAGAAGGAACTGCATTCAGAGAAATATTTCCTGAAGTACATCTGGCTCATATTTTCAGTAGAACACCATTCTTAGCAGAGAATCTCGAAGGTTTGTAAAATTATTATTAGAAAAAAAAAATAGAATGCGGTTATATTAACTTTTTGCATAAAAATATAAAAAAATAAAAACGATTTTTATAAACCTTTTATTTCAGAATTTTATACGTATTTGAAGAATATTAAACCGCACGCAACAATTAATGTTACAACTTAATTATTATTTCCCTATTATTAATGAATTCATATAAATTGTGTAAATTTTGTCAAAATA